TGGAAGTGTGGACTGGAGTAATTACTGTGTCAGTGTGGAGATTCCACAAAAATCTAAAATTAGAGGTACCACTTGACTCAGCTATTCCTCTTCTTGGTATCTTCCCAGAAGAATTAAAAACACAAAATTAAATACCACTGTAATATATGCACACCCATGTTTATAATGGCACAGTTTGTAATAGCTAAATCTTGGACACAGCCCAAATGCTCATCAACCAATGAATGGATTATTGAAGATCTGGGTTTATTTATTTATTTTTAATACAATGGATTACTACTCTGCCATAAAAGATAACCTTGAGACATTTCTAGATAAATGGAAGCACTTTGAGAAATAAATCAGTCACATATTTAATATGTTTCCCTGGCACGAAAACCAAAAGCGTAAATAAGGGGCAAAATGTATAATAGATATTGGGAAAGTAAAAAACATTTTCAAATGAGGACAAGAAAAGACAAGAAAAAAAGAATAGATTTTGGCTCTTTTTGGGGGTGGTCATGACTTCTAAAAGGGAATAAAAATGAGTTTGAGATATGAAATTATAGTTGCATATTTTTATTAGAGGCATTATAAAACCAGAGTAAGATGGTGATATCTAATAAAATATTTGGTTGGTTTTCTCATTGTAATCAAAGACTGCCTCATTGCTAAAGACATTGGAAAACTTGTTTATATTAATCCTTTGGCAGTATGTGAGGTCATTGGTTAAAAATTCCCTTTTGAAGTTTTTATTCTTTTGCTTTGTGGTTTTCTTCCTCTACCCATTTTTAAAATTCAGTATTTTCATGACTCATCCACCCACTCTCATTCTTTATTGTCCAGTTTGTCTCATCTGTTTCACCAGAGGCGCTCGTCTTCACATTCCCCTTGGATGTCTTCTCCTGGCTTCCAGCACAGATTTTTCAGCATCTGGCACACATCCTTAGTTCTTTCAGTACAGACTCTTCAGTCTTCCGTTGGAGACCCCTTGGCCTCCTGACATGCACTCACATGGGACGCTGTAGTGAGCTAGACTTCCAACTGAACCCTTTGGTCTCATGAGCAGACAGACTTTCTGCACTCTTTCACATCTCGCTCTGTGAGTGGCTACTGAAGGTTAATCTTGTAGCTTCTTGTGTATTTGTATATCTTACATCTTTTTCTCTAGTAAACACCAATACAGACAAGGTCTCACTATAAAAACTTACAGGTTAGTCCTGAATATCCTGTATAGCTCAGGTTGGCAATGACAGGGGTGGCTGAAGAATGTTTGACCACTATATACAGAACAGATCATCTTATCCCCTTGATTGTTAAAATTCTCTTCTCCCAGACCACCTCAGCAGCCAAGGGGAGCCTCGGTAAGGCCAAGGTGGGGGTCAGTTGCCCTTTACCTGCACCCTGACCACCTCAGCAGTGGGGGAGGCGGGAAGCTTCAGCTGCCCTTCCTCTGTACCTGAAAAACCTCAGCAGCTGATGGGATCATTGGCCACTCTTTCCCCCAGCCCCAAAGACCTCAACAGCCCTCGGTTCATCAGTGACCCCTTCCATCACCTGCTGGTGACAGCCTCAGCAACAACCCCCTCCACCACACACACAGAGGACCTCAGTGGGCTGGCGATAATGTGGTTAGTTTCTCCCTTAAGTAGAGGACATTAGTGAGTCCACAGGAGCCTCATGAACCCTCTCCCCAGCCATAGGACCTGGGCAAGCTGGGAAATGTGGGTGAGTCCTTTTTCCATAAAGAGAACCCCAGGTGGGTTGATGAGAGTTTGGATAAGACCTCTTCCCATTCAGAGGAACCTGAGAAGGCCTATGTGACAGTGACACAGCAGGATCCTGACTGGGGCAAACACTTTAGACAGGAGGGTCTGGGGGCTTGGAACAGCCCGAGGCCACAGTAACAATAGGAGGAAAGTGCTGGCTTACATCAATATTCCTAAGCCTAGGAAGAATACAGGATTCACCCAGCAGGCCCTGCAGGAGGAATTCAGGTGAATGGCCCCTGGCCTACATTATAGGACATAGCAACTGGGCAAATGTCAGCCACACACAACAGACAGTTGAGACTAGCAGGATTGAAAAGATCAAAATATTAAAACAAGAGGTAAAAATGACAAAGTGAAATAGCAAAATGCAATTGCAATTGCCCAGTCCATCAGGAACAAGTACAGGCAACACTGAAATAGAGGACACTGGAAGTCAGTCATACGCCTGAAACTTCTGAAAAGATAGCAAGTGAAGGGGGCTGGGGATTTAGCTCAGCGGCATAAGCGCCTGCCTTGCAAGCAGGCAGTCGTGAGTTCGATCGCTGGTACCGATAAAAACAAAAAAGACAAAAAAAAAAAAAAAAAAAAAAAGATAGCAAGTGAAATAAAGAAACAAATCCATGAGGCTACAGAGGAAGTCAGATTAGAAATAATCTCTCAAGTAAAGAAAGAAATGACAATCTTAATAAAGGAGTTGCTTAGCATAGCTAGAGAAGACATAGATAAAAAAGTACAAGAGCATGGAAAAATGATGGAAACCTTGAGTGAACAATACAGGAAAGAATGAATCAAATTCAAAGAGATATCTAGGAAATTACAAATTCTGCTGAAAGCTGGAGAAACTGCTTGAATGAAACTGAAGATAGACTTTCAGACCTTGAAGACAGAACCACAGTTGGAGATCATGAAATAAAAAATCTTTTAAAGACAAGGGATCATGAAATAATTCAACACCTTAAAGATGCAAAGAAAACAATGTAAGATTGATAGGTATCAATGAAAATGCAGGAGTTAACACAAATGACATAAAAAACTATCCACAGCAGAAAATTTCCCAAACATAGGAAAAGAATCTGATCTACAGATAAGCCACATATAACTCCAAACAGTCATAACCAAAATAAATCTACACCCAGATTTATAATAATCAAGATTCCAGAAATTCAGCAAAAAGGTGACCTGCTGAGGTCACCTTTTGATGAGTGGTTACGTAGGAAACAAACACCACCATAGCTGTGAACTGGCAGGTGGTGCTGTAAATGTGCAGGATCATCCACAAACCAGGTCCTAGCATTATCTTTTGACAGCTGACCATATGGTATACCCCACAAGACCACAGATGCATGCTGGGAATCAGAAGGTAATATGGCTATCCTCCTGCCTCTGCTTCCCGAGTCCTGAGATTACAGTAGTGCACGCACTACACTTAGCTTCAACAGTGGTCTTACTAAAAACAATCAAGAACATTTCTATTGTTTAAAATTCCTTGGTGCTGGCACCAGTGCCATGTGCAGACACCCACGGGATTAGAACAGTCAGACCCTAGCTTCTCCCTGTAAGTACCATTCATAGACCAGGAATAGACAGAATAAAGGATACATCAGCAAGCAAACCTAGTCTGGAAACCAGTGCCATGTGCGGACCCCTGCCAGACTGGAACAGTCAGAGACACCAGCCCTTCCATTGTGCAGGTTAGCAAAAAGTAGCATCCCACAGCAACTCCCTCTACCCCTATACCACTGTAAGTAACCAGCTTATTCAGAGAAACACAGGCAGTGATAGCTATGGAAGTGAAATGCAATTAGATGCCTGTGGTGCTTTGGTGTTTCACTAACATTGCAGGTCTAAGGCCAGTGGTCTGATCATAGGCTCAGAGGATAGTGGTACTCAATATGACACCTGGCGGGGGAGGGGATCTCCTCTTGATGGTTGCAAGCCATTGTTCATTCCCTATGGTCTTGTTTTAGAGGTCCTTTATCCTTTCCACTGTTTTGCTGGGTTGGGTTTTATTCATTTTTGTTTTGTCAAATCTGATGGCAGGAGTAACTATTTCAAAGATAGGAAGATATATCATGGTAGCAATTTTGGATTTAGTATTGGCTTGTTTTGAAGTCCTTTATTGCATTGTCTTTTTATTGTTTCTATTTTGTTCTATTTGATATTTATTACATTTGAAGTTATCTGCAGCTATTTTGAAGACATCAAAAGGTATTATGGTAACTACTGTTGATTTCATAATGTTTTTAGGCATATATATATATATATATATATATATATATATATATATATATTTTTTTTTTTTTTTTTTTTTTTACTGGTACCAGGGATCAGATCAAACTCACAACCACGTGCTTGCAAGGCAGGTACTTATGCTGCTGAACTAAATCCCCAGCCCCAAGGCCTGTATCTCTTACACTGGTTTGTTTTGATTAGTATTACTGTTTTTTTTTTTTTTTTTTTTTTAAATTCTCCAGTACTGCTAGGATCAACTCCAAGAGTCCTGCAGGATATAGCCTTCTTTTACCTCAAGTTGTTATCTTGTCACTTTCCACATCCTATTGAACAACCTGAAGTCTCACGGAATCCTTTTCTTGAAGCTTCTAAATTCCTGTTTTCTGCCTCTGACCTCCTATACACTGTTATATTCCTTGTGTGTAGTAGTAATCACTTTTGGCTAGTTGTCTTTTCTTTCATATTTCACCTTCATGGTCAGGTCACTTCTTTCAGAATGTCTGCTTTGCTAAGCTACTTCTACAGTGAGTGTTCCTTCCAAGAAATCCCCAGCCACTTTGTTTCTTCCTTCACAGCAGTATACACTCAAGTTCTTGCTAACTTAGGTTTAGTCTCTTTGAGCACAGGGGCTAAGTCTAGCTTGTTCAAAATACAAAATGTCATATTGGGCCCGGTTCAGGAATGGTACTTGGTAAACACTTTAATGATCAGATAGACACCCTGGGCTAGGTTCTCTAATAAGTTATTTGATTTTCAGGGAAATAACTTATGGGACAACTTTGCTAATGTTTTACAGGAACATAAAAATGTCTTTTTTACTGTAGACTATAAAAAAGGTGGTACAGGCAAAATTGAAAAGTAGTTCTGATCACCAGTAAGGCAAATGAAATGCTAATATTAATTTACATAGGGAAGACACTTCAAACATAAAAAAAGTCTAATCAAAAAAATATTCAAGAGCCCTGAAAGATACTACAGAGAGACCATAATTCTACCCACAAAACAATGAAAGAGCAGTTTCATTTCATAGAGTTTTATTACAGGATGTTAATATTCAGGACACTTCAGAGCACCTTATACTTCTAATCAGGTTTTTGGTAACTGGTTTTTAAACGTATTACTTGAATATTTTTTACATACCAGCTTTCAGCCAAAAGTATTAGTCAGTGACTGTTTAAGAGATGTTAATTTGATTAAATAGTTTATCCTTAATAACCTGAGACATCAATCCATGGATGGCTTCTATGGTAGTTTTACAGCTGGAAAGAAAAAAACATCATATACTGAAGCATCTGGAAAACTATTCCAAACATTCAAGTTTTCCCTCTTATTCATCCTTGCACTCCCAATCATGTTTTTCACTTTTATTCATACTTCTCAAACCACCCCAAAGTAAAGTGTCCTTGTGAATTTTGACTTTCTGCATGTTTTTTTTTGGGGGGGGGGCGGGGTACACAGAATTGAACTCAGGACCTTGTACTTGCCAGGCAGGCATTGCACTGCTGAGCTGTATCCTGGCCCTTTCTTCATGTCTTCTAACCCATTTAACTACTTACTAAAACTTCCACAAAAGAATGATAATGTAAAATTTTATACAAATTGGAACAATATTGTTACTTATTGGCAGCTCTGGGAAAAACTCTGTTTTGAAAGGCATGTACCTGGGTGTGGTGGTGCATGCCTGTAATCCCAGCATTTAGTAGGATGAGACAGGAGGACTCCTTCGAGTTCAAGGCCAACCTTGACTACATAGTGAGTTTAAGTCAGCCTGAACTATAGAGCAAGATCCTCTTTCAGAAAAACATCTAAAAGTACACATTAACTATGTGTTATATAAGTGATGCAGTAACATTAATATATAATTAATATACATTGTTAATATCACATATTAATCTATAATCACAGATGATTTCAATAGTATAGAAACCATTACTCCTTATTACTTAGAATATTTTACAAACTACATTTAAAGAACTTTATGCTTTTTTCCTGAAATAATCACAATTCTCCTATTCACAAAATAAATGGGTGAATGACTCAGACTTTAAATAGTAAAAATTAAAAAACAAAACAATGATAAAACCTCACCAATATCCATGAGATGCTATTCTTGTATAGCTATCCTGAAAAGGAAAATTCTCTGCATCTGTTTGCTACTTGGCTTTCCTACTTCCGTTATATAATTGAAGAAAAATTATATAAAATTTTTGCTTTGCAAGACACTGAAATGTAAATGTAGGTAAAATTACAAATTGCCTGCTATAAAGGTAGTTGAACAAAAACATATCTCAAAAAAAGTGTCAAAAGTGGGACCTAATGTCAAAACAAAAGGTAACTTTTATCCACGTTACTTTTTCTACCTTCTAAAAGCCCACGGAGAAGGAAATGAAATAGTTCTAACCCAACAAGATTCCTGCTCCCAAAATACACCTTATCTTTTCTTTTTTTCCTATAGACTAAACATATTTTTCTTAAATATACTAATGTACCATTTCTTTTCTTTTTTTTTTTGTCTTTTTTGAGACAGGGTCTCGCTATGCAGTTCAGGCTGGCCTTGAGTTCACTTTGTAGCCCAGGCTGGTTTCGAACTTGCAACGATCCTCCCACCTCAGCCTCTCGAGTGCTGGGATTACAGGCGTGAGCCACCAGGCCCGGCTAAATATACTAATATATCATTTCATATAATGTCAACGTAGTTCTCCCTTTTTGCTCTTATCACATTAAAATTAAAACTTAAGAAAATATTAGTTTCCTGTATTCTATATACCTGAAGGGCCACTTACTATTTTATAAGGTATCTGAGAACACATCTTAAATTTATTACTAACAAATTATTTGGTCATAAAACTTGGGATACTAAATCATTTTATGAAGGCAAATTTGGGAAGCATAACTTAAAGATGATATAATCATTTGTAGTATTATGGGATTTAAAGATTTATGAAAAATTGAAAGTTGATAAATGTTCGAAATCTTAATCTCTCAGGAAAGGATTGGGTTAGTAAAGTTTAGGGAATCTTTTTTTTTTTTTTTGTACTGGGGATCAAACTCACGACCTCGCACTTGCAAGGCTGGCACTTATGCTGCTGAGCTAAATCCCTGCCCACTTAGGGAAGCCTTAAAAAAACTGATGGGCTGGTTTTGTTACTTCCTGTCTGACCCTAGAATAGATGATTGGAAGCACTCCCTAATACTACCTCAATCTTTGATTTAAATTTTAAATCTTTTATCTATTTTTTTTTTTTTTTTGTCTTTTTCGTTTTTCTCGGTACCAGGGATCGAACTCACAACTGCCTGCTTGCAAGGCAGGCGCTTATGCCGCTGAGCTAAATCCCCAGCCCCTTAAATCTTTTATCTAATGTTGTCCAAATTTTCAGTTAACGTAGTGACATTTTGGTTGTCGAACTCACATTCCTAATTTGTGTTTGAACACTAAAAAGTTCAAGAACTGAATGTATTTTTCCCATAGGAAATAACGGAAAACCAAACACTTGGTTCTAAGGCCCAAAAATTACACTTATACAAATTTATCTTTTAAGAACTTTAACAGTGATTTCTTTCTTTAACTCTACCATAGTTCTCCTAATTTTTCTCTTAGCTTTACTGCTACTTAACTTTCTTTGGAGCCATGCTTATGCTATTTTATGCAAATAAAGTATAAAAAAAGCGCACAATGATGAATGTTTTAATGCACTAACAAAAGCACTACAAGGTAGTCTGGGCAAGAGTGGCACTTTGATTGAAGTGTCACTCCTTTGTGTCTACAGCAAGCCTGTATAAGGTTTTTCAAGTCGAATTTTTGGTTTGACTATAGAGTAGTTAGCAACAATGAACAGATTTTTTTGAACTTTGTTGTTTGAGAAGTAGCAAGTTTGAACTTGTTGCCTTCCACTGTTATTTGCATAAGATGACAGCTCTTTCTTTTCTTTTTAGCTGCTACAGTAGGGACTGAATTCAGAGCCTTGCCAATGATAGGCAAACGTTCTACCACTGAGCTATATGCCCAGTACTTCTTATTTTGAGACAGGGTCTTACTAAATTGCCAAGGCAGATCTTGAACTTGTGATCCTCCCGCTTTAGTCTCTGGGGTATCTGGGATTACAGGCATATGCCACCATGCCTGGCTTTGCATATGAATAATTTTAAAGGACCCTCTTTAACAATTAATAGTCAGGTACCATTTTAAGTTATAACTAAGTTGAACCAAAACAATTTTTAATTCTATTATTATTTGCAAATTTTGAAGCAAAAGAATTAGCAAGAATTTTACAGATGTACTCTTACCTGTCTCTTGTAGCTTTGGCAAGTTTGTCTTCTGACTTTCGGTCATGTGTTTCTAAACCCAACATGAAACTTCCTCGGCCCAGCTGGGCTTCTGACTGTTCTAATTTTTCAGATAAATCAAACACTTGACCAGTAGTATAGTCTGCATTCTGTGGAAAAAAAGGTAATGTGTCAGTACATAAGCCAACCATTAGTCTACATATTTATTTGTGAATCAATTCTTTTTCTGCATAGAGTATACCTTTAAAAAGAATTCCACTATAAAACCTGAGTGAGCAGTCAGTACAAAACTCAAAGGCAGGCTTGGTGCTGCATACTTGTAACCCCAATACTTTAGGAGGCCAATGTAGGAGGGTTAGAAGTTCCAACTCAGCTTGAGTAATCTAGGGATTTAGCCAGACCATGTCTCAAAATAGAAAAGCAGGGCTTGGTTCAAGTGCAGTGGTGGGTTTGCTCAGTAGGAGGGTCTTGGGTTCAGTCCTCATTATTAAAACCAAAGCAAAGCAAACCATACCAAAAAATCAAATTATACCTGCAAAAACTGCTTCCATATTCAAGAAGTTTGAGTGTAGATATTTTTCTTATGATTACAAGATTAAATTTGAAAATTTTCATTTTGCTAGCTTAAATCTAGTACAGCAGTACCTCCATTCATAAACTTAATTAGTTTGTTCTATGATTTTGGGGAAGATGGCTGTGTTCATGTTCCTCACCTGATACAGAGTTCCCCAACAGAAACAAAATTTTGCCGAATGCTTGTTTGCAAACCGAACTGTCTGGTGAACACAGGTGTTCATGAAGCAAGGTACCACTGCATTTGTTATTATAGGTGCCCTTTTTTTTTTTTTCTTTAAGACAGGGTCTCGCTTCATAGTGCAGGCTGGCTTCAAACGCTTCGTGATCTTTCTGCCTTAGCCTCCCAAGCTTTGGGATTACAGATGTGCACCAGTATGCCCAGTTTATGGGGGGTTTCAGAGTACACAGATGTGATGCTAGGATCTGGGCCTCCTGCAGATTAGATGGGAGGGCTGAGGCATGTCTCCTGTCTTCTGAAAATGAGAAAGGATGGCAATAATATCTACCCAAGGCTATTGTGGGCATACATATATATATATATGTAGAGAGAGAGAGAGAGAGAGAGAATCAAAAAAGTGTATGTCAGGAAAGAAAAAATTTGTATAAATATGTTAATACATTGAGACAACATGAGATTAATACAAGTTACCTTTCACCCCTACAATTATAAGGTTCTCAAAGTACTTGTCATTAGCTTCAAACATTTATTAATATGGTGAACTGCTAAAGTGTACACATTTTTTTGTGGTCTGCCTCTTTCTACATATGCTTAGTAATCGTCAGCTAATTTTATTGTTTCTTAAACTTTTAGAATTAATTCTTATGACAACATTTATTATTATTTTTTTTTACCTTTTCTGGTTATAAAGTCAATGGTCGTTACAGAGTATCTGGAAAATTTATAGTAGTATAAAGAAGAAATTAATACACCTATAATCCTTCCAACTAGCTATAAGCAGTTATATTTTAAAGTAACACTATATCCTTATATATACACACCTACATTTGAAAAACTGGAATATTAATGTATACTATTTTTTTCTATAAAGTTATATACTTCTTAAAAAGAAAGAAATTTAATACCTCTACGTGTGCTTTTAACTATAAAGTCAGAAATTAAGGGGTATAAATTTTGGCTAACTTTTACATTCTGTTTCTCAAAGTCTTCAGTAGAAGAAAGTAAAGATTAGATTAATTGTGTGGCAAAAATTATGGTACACTATTTGTTAACTTTGCAAGACAGTAAGTACATTAAAAATATAGATCTATCACCAAATAGGAAAAATTATTTGTTGTCATCACAGCTACTTTGGAAGATTCTTTAAAATGCTACTTGTTCTTCCAATGACTTTATATATAATATTTAAAATAATATATTAATTTTGTCCAGATGTTTGTGGTTTATGAAACTAATTTTTTTTCTACTATAGACTTGGAAAAAGCTTTAAGGTTTACAGATCACTTCATAATTTCAAGATTTGAGTACTCAAGCTATGAAAATCTGGGCTACTGGAAACCATCGTGCTATTAAAATGACAATAAAATATATACAAGAGCATTTCAAATGCATAGAGAATAAGGGATGAATTTCCTAAATTAGAAAATAACGTTTTTTTCTAATAGTTTCAAGTTACATGCTGTAATTAACTGCTCTAGCTGAGGAAAGAGGAAAGTTGTACATTTTCTTAAAATGTTATAGTTAACTATATGTAAAGCCACAAGAAGGGAGAAATTTAATTTTCTTTGATTACCATATGCACACATGCAATACTGAAACACAGAAAGTCATAAGGCTGAGTAGGTGTAGATGTGCTTGCCTTTAAAGTTCAATGTACCAAAGTATTAATAATTTATTGAGACTTTATTATATGCCAGGCACATAGCTAAATGCTTTAAAGTACCAAATTTTCCTGTGTACTTAATTATGTATGTAATAAAGGTTCAATCACATTAACTTTCTGAAGGTCACTCAAAAATAAAATAATAGTTGTTTTTAAACCTAGGTTTAAATTCCAAGTGCCATGGTTTTAGGCACTGTTCGAACTACAATATATGGAATAACCCACTATTTTCAAAAAGTAAAAAAACTGTTCCTCAGTCCTAACTATATTTATTACTCAATATATTAGTCTTTAATGAAATATCAGAAAATATATGTACATATATAAAATATATATACACACACACATTTTTTCCCCCCTTCCCCTGTCCATCCAGCATCTGTTCTTTTAGGGTAATGATCTTTTGATTTCTCCTTAGGGATCTTATCTTTCCCTACTTAGTCCCTGTATTCCTGAAGAAGTTGCCTCTGTCCCAACCCAGCAGTAAAATATTTGTCCTAGCTCAACCACTCATTCTTTCGCCCACTGGAGGCCCAATGATGGGTATGTGTCCTAAGCCCATCAGACACAGCAAACCAAAGCTTTGTCTCAAATATGCATTCCCTCCCCTGCCTCCCTCCCTCCTCTTTTTGAGGCTGGGTCTTGCTATGCAGTTTAAGCTGGCCTTGAGCTCACAATAATCCTCCTGTCTCAGTCTCCCAAGTCCTGGATTACAGGGGCACGCCACTACACTGGGCTTTGATTTTCTCTTAAATGGACAGGCTGGAGGATCTGGAGCTAATGCTGTTCCTATCCTTTCAAATGAAGACTGAAGATAAACTTGATAAAGCTGAGAAAAAAAAAGAACACTTTGTAATATTACTTGAATGCAAACTTAGCTGTGCTTGATGTAAATTCTACTAGACTTAGCAACTTACATAATTTCCTTTCTCATTTCTCTGAATATCCTGTTACTTATAATCAGAGTCCTACTTGAGACAGCTACCTGTTATCTGCTGTAACAGAAATAGTGTTTGTGTATTCTCCTCTATAAGTCTCTTTATGGCAGGCACAGATCTCACCCTGGACTGGCCACTCTATTTGCCATAGAGATTTGGTCTCTCTGGCACATGATATAGGCCCTAGATTGGCCCAGCATCCTGATCCAGCTCTGGGGTGTAAAATCTCATTCTGGACATGGGTTCTTGGCTAAGTCAGGCACAGCCTTTCTGGGAAGTGGGGTTTTACGTATTAACAGCCTTTGTAGCTTAGATAAAATTAAAATGCCATACCTTGGTAGTATAGTACTTACAGTAAGCAAGCTAGAGGAACTCAGTGTATTCACCCAGTATTTATTCCATAAGAGCTCAAGTAATTTACGATCCAAAGATGATTTGAAATATGAGACTTCTAAGGCATAGTATCTATGAAAAGAAAGCACAAATTCACTTAGTGAAAAAACACTCTACTCAATTTGATATACAGAAGTTATATATACACTTAATTAAATTATATTTTATATTTAGACTATCAAATCCTAGCACTAGGGAGGCTGAGGCAAGAGAACTGTTGTGAATTTGAGACCAGCTTGGGCTACACAGTGAGTTCAAAGGCAGCCTGAACTACATAGTGAGACCTATCACCAAGAAAACAAAATAAAATAAACAGAATTTATGAATGACATTCATACTACTTGATGCCAGCTAATAGCATATATACTTTTTTTTGGTACCAGGGACTGAACTCACGACCTCGTGTTTACCAAGCAAGTGCTTAAACCGCCAAGCTAAATCCCCGGCATATATACTTAATGACCTTCCTTGTAGCACCAGCAAAATTGGTCTTTTCCTTTTTAACTTTTTGAGATACGATCTCACTAAATTGCTCAGGGTGGCACTAAACTTGAGATCCTTGTCTCAGCCTCCCAAGCAGCTGAGATTACAGGCATGTACCTTTGCACCAGGCAAAACATACACATTTAAAAAGTAACAAATATTAAATATCTCAGTAGGACTGGATATGAAGAAGCACAAGAATTTTCTTTACTTTGAAGAACTTAATCTTTATATGGGAAAGTGGTATGAATCTAAAAGTTAAATATAATGAAATATTTTTTTTTTTTTTTGGTCTTTTTCCCTTTGATTGGTACCGGGGATCGAACTCACGGCTGCCTGCTTACAAGGCAGGCGCTTATGCCGCTGAGCTAAATCCCCAGCCATAATGAAATATTTTAAAAACAGTAACTGATGCTGTAGTATATATATAATATGAATCACTTACCAATTGAGAGTTAGAAAAAATAGGAATGTTCAGAGGAACTCAAGTGGTCATTTCAAGCTACAACTGCTTGAGAAGCCCCAGGGGAAAGGATAGCTCTTACAGGAGTTTGTGAGAATAAGGATGGCATTAGGCAGAAAGCCTTAACCCACAACAAGGAAAAATACCTAAGGGATAATACACTGTTCTGGCTGAATAACTTAGCAAGGGCAGAAGAATTATCTGAGAAAAACCTAGAAAGCTACACTGGTATTGGGGTTTAACTGATAGAAGATGTTATATAAAACTGAATCCTTTAGGTACAGAGGTCTCATGGAAGGTGTTTTAGCAGAACAATGATATAATTAAACGGGTGTTTTGGAAAGGTGGCTGTCAGAGGCTGGGGATTTAGTTCAGCGGCATAAGTGCCTGCCTTGCAAGCATGCAGTCGTGAGTTCGATCCCTGGTACCGATAAAAAAGAAAAAGACAAAAAAAAAAAAAAAAAAAAAGAAAAGGAAAGGTGGCTGTCAGTCCTTCAGGAAATACCAGGAGAGAAACTCGAGGAATCAAAGAGACCCACAAATGAAGCTATTGGGTCAATGTAGATAGGAAGAGATAAAAGGTGTAGAATCTAGGTTCATGAGGCAAAGACAAACTCCTACGGGGACAACAAAAAGAGCCATTATTAAGTTTAGCATGATGAAACAAAAGGAAACTGAAGACATTGGGATTAAGCAAGTAATGATCTTTTTGCCATTAAGACACTAGTACATGTCTGCACATAGAATGGAAGCAGTGAATGGAAGTGGAACAGTATATAACTTAAGCAACTACTATGCTCTAGGTGCTTTACCTGTATCCTGATTTAATCTTCCCTACAACTATACATGAAAGAATTTATTATGTGCATTCTACAAACAAGGAAATAAATTCAATGCTCTAATTTGGATCTGGAATGTCCCTCAAAGGCCCATATACTGAAGGCTTGGTCTCCACCCCAGACACCACTGGGAGATGGTGAAGTTTCAGAAGTGGGGCTTCATAGAAGGAAGCTAGGTGATTTAGGGATGTGGACCCTGGTCCCTCCTTGTTTTCTCTCTTTGGTTCCCAATTACAAGCTAGTAGATTCTTCATTGAGATACTCCTGCCATGATGTAATGCCTTGTCACAAACTGCGAAATAATAGGTTCATTGATCATGAACTGAAACTTCTGAAACTGTGAGCCAAAATAAACCTTTCTTCCTTGTAGTTTTTTTTTTTCCCCCATCTTTTTGAGATAGGCTGCTCACTATGCAGTTCAGGTTGGCCTCTAACTTACAACAATCCCCCTGCCTCAGCCTCAAGAGTGCTGGGATTATAGGTGTGTACCATTATACTCAGCCTTTCTTATAAATTGACTCATCCCAGGGACTTTGTCATACTAATAGAAAGGTAACAAAAAGACTTTATTAAGGCTGCATAGCTACAAAGAGGCAGAGGAAGGATATAAAAAGTTTCCTCTGTCACTAAAACATCAGTCTTTATATACAGAATGTGGATGTTAAGGATAGTATTTAAAAATGAGGCACGGGAGTGAGGCATGAGTAGAGGTAAGAATGGGAAGAGGCATTCAAGTGAAAAGGTCAATTTTAAAAACAGTTAAGCACTGAGATGTGAAAAGAGAGGAAAGAAAAGATATTTAAAATATTTATAAAAGATGGAAGACGAGGGGTCCAGAGTAACTTATTTTTCTGTTTGTTTTTTAAGACTGGGTCTCACTATCTAGTTTGGGCTGGCCTTGAACTCACTATGTTGCCCAAGCAGGCCTTGAACTCATGGTCATTCTCCTGAGTTAGCTTCCTGAGTGCTGGGGACTACAAGTGTGTACCACTAAGCCTAGCTCTAGAATTTTCTTAGGTTTTCAAATTTATGTATTACCTTAAAAATTAGTATTTTAATTTCTTAAATTGGTATAATGAATCTTTTCCCCTTTAATAGGTAATGATTAGCTGCAGTCTCAGCAGAGAATATTCAAAACTACTTGTAGAGCTAACTTCTCATCTTCTGTAGGAATGGTCAATAACAGATCCTGCTGAGAACTTGAATCAAGAAGCAACATTATCAGCATATTGCTGAAGATACATGGTAAGTGCTTAAAGGAATGACAAACAATAGCTTAAGTGACTGCTTCTGGTGGACAGGAAAGGTTTCAGATTGTTTTTCATAAGATTCACAGACTTACTCATTTTTTATTTATTTTTTAAGGAGATGGGGGTGTATGATATCTGAGCTAGCCTTGAACTCCCGGGTTTCAGTGATCCTCCTGCATCAGGGTCCTGAGTAGCTAGGACTACAAGGGTGTCCCATTACCCTTCTCATAACTCTGTATGTTAAGCTTATAGCACTAATAAAATACAAGATAATTTAAAAAGCACTTTAAGAGCACAGTGAGAGTGCTTGCCTAGTATGCATAAGGTTCTGGTTTGATCCTTACCACCACAAAAACTAAACAACCTTGTATCCTATTTCCAATAAAAAAATAACCAATATAAACTGCAAACAATAGCTTTTCATCACATTAATTCAGGAAAAAGTAGCCTGCACAAAACGCTTGCTCTTTGGATTTATATTTCATGGAACATTTACAAAAAAGAATAAAATAAGTTGTCCTATTAAAAATCTTATTACTCTTTTTTAGGAATTAACCCAGTGTGAGAGAACATCTTTAAATATTCTAGCAATTCTATAGTAAAGATATTTGGTAGGCAAAGTTGTGACTCCTTTCTGATAAATTTCTATTTCAGAGGAACAAGGTAGAGCACTTAGCAAATGAAAATGACGAAAGACAAAAGAACCAACCAAAAGAAAGAAAATCAGGGAAGATAAATGTTTTAGGATATAAAAACATATGGCTCAATATACATTTAAGATGTGATATGTACATGTACTATCCACAATGAATGTATTCATTATATACTGAAAACATGTATTATTAAAAAAAAATGAAAAAAGAATGGATTGTTACTCAGAAAATATGAGTCTGCAGCAAAGGTGTTTCTATACTTAAGAACAATTCTCTTAAATAGGAATGGTTTAAATTCTTTTCAATAGGGCAAATTAATCCTGACCATTTAGCACAGAGGTAATTAATAATTTTTACAAAAATAAGTTATAGATGCTTGAAAATAAGATGTATTTTAAAACTCATTTCTACAAAATTCTGGAATTCTTTAAGAATATCCAAACAGATTAAAAATAAAAGAATATCCAAACAGAAAAATAAGAGAAGTAATGCATAATGAAAAAAAAATCAAGATAGTCTTCCTTGAATTTGAAATGAAAGGTATGGAAAAAACAGAACACGAGATAATCATTTCGTTTAGGTAATAATATTTTTTTTTTTTTTTTTGAGACAGAGTCTCACAATGCCTTCCAGGCTGACCTTAAATTCACAGTCATCGTCCTCCTGTCTCTGCCTCCCAAATGCTGGGATTGTAGGCTTGTGCCACCATACCTGGCTGTTTGCTTTCTGTAAAGTCCTTACTCTTCTCTGTTCATGCCTTATTTTATTTTATTTTTGGTACCGAGGATTGAACTCATGACCTCGCACTTGCCAGGCAGACACTTATGCCACTGAGCTATATCCCCAGCCCCCATGCTTTATTTTAAATGCATACATACAGCAGTAAATAATTACTTCTATGAAATTCTCTTTCTATAGGATTCAATAATAAGGCAAAAACAAGTGCTAAGAAGAAAAAGTATGGGGACACAAAGTGACAATAAAGTACTACTTGAGATACACTGACCAATAAACATTGTCTGTTGAGGTGCCTCTTAAACAGATACTCAAAGCATCTGTTAGTGAACCTCATGGTAGTTAGTAAGCCACATGGAAATAAATATGTTCCAGGCAGAGGGAATGGAAAGTACAAAACCGGGGGCTGGGGATTTAGCTCAGCGGCATAAGCACCTGCCTTGTAAGCAGGCGGTCGTGAGTTCGATCCCTGGTACTGGTAAAAATGAAAAAGACAAAAAAAAAAAAAAAAAAAAGTACAAAACCACAAGGCAGAAGCCTGCCTGGTACATCTGTCAAACTGTGAGGCTGAATTGGAAAGGTTCTGTGATGAGAGATCAGCTGAGAGAGGTTGAAGGCTGGACCATATAGGCCTGTGTACCCTGTGGTAAGGATATTATTCTAGGTGAGATGAGTCATTCTAAGAAAGAAAACATGATCTATTTCTAGTCTAACAAAATCATCAAAGAAAACATCGGTAAGGGTGGAAGGGTAGACACAGGAAGACAAGTTACTAGGACTATGGACCAGGCTCCAAATGGCTGTGGCTTGAAGAAAGGCGACAGTAAGAGAAATTGTGAGATATATTTAGAATGTAAAGAAAACTGCCCTTCTTTAACATTAAAAAAAAAAAAAAATGTAATTCACATGCTCTAAAATTCACAATTATAATAAAGCATATAATTCAGTGATTTTTCATAAGGCTCTTTAACTTTGGAGTTAAAATGTACAACCATTGCTAAATGGAAATTGGGTACTTTCAGGAGTACAAATGAGATAGTGTTAGGCTGACCCTCAACACCTTTCAACTTCAGTTTCATTATGGGCCAAGTTATCGTGTACACTGAGAAAATGTTTACAGCTGTGTGATTATTGATAAAAAATTTCTGAACATTATTGAAAATTCTTATCTTTTTAGTATTTCTAAAAAATGTATTATACTATGAGACATATTTTGCCTATGCCTTTCACTCATTGGTAAAATAAAGGGTTGGACAGGATGACCTTTGAAACTTGTTACAGAAGTTTTGGTACTAAATACATTTTTGAAAGACTTACTGTTTGCAATGTACACCAAAATCTTCTATTTTATTTAGTGGGATAGTTTGATATTCAGAAGGTCCTTCATCAGGTGGTTTGTAGCCCTAAACAAAAAATAAAGAAAATAGGAGATTAAAAAATGAATGAAAAGAAAACTCTTAAGAAAAACATTTTTTTCTATGCTGCTTTATATTTATAAAAACATTATTTTGGGGAGTGCAATAGTCAACATTGCTAATAAACACGCTAATAGCCAGGCATAGTAGTACATGTCTGTAATCTCAGCACATGGGACACTGAGGCAGGAGTATCCAGAGTTCAAGACCAGCCTGGACTACATAATGAGACCCTTTACATTCTAATAAAAAAAAAAAAGGGGACTGGGGATTTAGCTCAGTGGCATAATTGCCTGCCTGGCAAGCACGAGGTTGTGAGTTCAATCCTGGTACCAAAAAACCAAACCAAACCAACCCATATTTGCAGCCTGTAATCGCAGCACTCGAGAGGTTGAGGCAGGAGTATTACTCCAAGTTTGAGGCCAGTCTGGGCTACAAAGTGAACTATTTTAAGGCCAGCCTGAACTGCATGGTGACAGCCTATCTCAAAACAAACAAACAAATTGCTTCTACACTTTTCCTGGTGGTCATAGGCTTGATTTGCTTAAAGATTCATTTTTCTTGTCCTTAAGTAAATATCTACTGTATTACTGTGTAAATATCGACTGTAGAGTGTAGATTTTCTCTGGGGAAGGAAATAAATCTGTGTAGTTTGTTTCCCTAGTACCTGTCAGAATGCCATGAGCATTTTTATAAGAAAACTATTCCTTATTAAATACTTATTAAGAAATAAAGGCTGCTTCTCTCATAAAATTAACAATATAGTCTGCTAAAAAAAAGATACACATTTAAGTAGTTCATCATACTAATAAATGTCTGGAAATTAACTGCCACCACTTTGAGCACCTCTTATAATTATAGAGGTTAAATGTAACTTGTATTAATCTTATGATATCTCAGAAGATTTCATATTAAAATATTTACACAAGTTTTTCTTTTCCTGATGTATACATTTTTTTGGTGGACTCTGTATTTTTTCTTAGGGGTAGTTAGTGATAGCTTGCTATTTTGTAAATATTAAATTATTTTAAGACTAACAAGATACTATTTTGTTACTATATATTTTTAAAGATAATACTATAATTAACCAAAATTATAGTATTATCTTTAAAAATAAGTAATAAATTTGGATTTTAAAAAATTATAAAGACTTATAAATTAAAAAATTACCTTTGGATATGTCCTAAAAGCCCCAAGATTCACTTTCCCTGCAGATATTGTTCTTGTTGGATCAATCTACAAGCAAAATATATTTAGTATATAAATCATTGTCTCTATCTATGCAAACACTCCAACCCTAAAATACATATATACATTCAACCACAAACAATAAGAAAAAAATAACAAAAAAAAAAACCCCCACCAAAAACAAACCAAAAGTTCAATGAAACAGGTAAATACAGAAGTTCCTCATAATTAATGTAACAATTAAATTTTGTTATTATGGCATTTAAGAATACGTTTTGAGGATCTGCCCATCTTTAAAATTTTTTTTTTGTTGTTGTTTTGTTTTGAGAAATTGGTAATTTCTAATTTCTTCCTAGAAACTTGGGTTATATCTAAAAGAGTCTGGGTGTAACAGGAGCTGATCTACTAATTTTTGCTTGCTCAATTCAGTCAACACTGAGTGCCTATGAAGAACTGGGTCTGAGACTTAAGTCCTGTGAGTACTGTATTCATGGGAGCAGATTAGGGTTAGGTGTGAGATGCAGAGAGAGTAGGTAAGCTGCTCGATGTTCAAGCTTCGAAGAGGTGAAATTCAGATGTAAACCATGATATTTCTCTCTGCATACTTGCTTTTATAAAGCTTCTTAAATTTTTCTTAAATTCAGTTAAGACTGGTTTTAAAAGTACTCACCACAACTGCTACAAAAGGTTCCTGGAACTGCTGGTTCAGCATCTGCGTGCTGACATCAATCCCAGAAAGCCAGCAGCCGTAGCCAGGGTGGCTGTGATACCAGCCAATTGCATTCTCAAGGCGGCCAACCTAACATACAATGAAGACAAGAATTTGAAGTTCCTATTTGAGCACAGAGACACTTGTTATCTGTCTGTTTTACATGGCATTATGGCAAAATTACATTGTACAATAGCTCATTGTGTATGCTGGTTTCAAGTAGAACAAAAAAGGATTTCAAAAATAGATAATATCTATACAAAGTACATAATTCACAAGCACAGAAAGACACTTGAGTTCTCCTTTCTATCTCTTTTCCCTCAAGTATCTAGTTTCTCAGCTAAGATGTTACTCTTATGGTCAACTGCTTATCTACCCTTACAGAGATATTCTTGGCATTTATTAATAAATATCCATGCAAAACAGAACAACATATATAGTGTTTTATACTTTGTATCTTTAATCAAATGATTCTGGAGCTTGAACCATTTAAATATTTAAGTAAATGTAGAAAGCTATTTTTTTTTAAGGTTGCCTTAGCAGTCCATTAGCAGATATGCCATAAGTTGTTTAATTGGCTTTATATTGAGAAATATTGATGCTAAACTTATGTGGATTTCATAACTTATGTGGTGCTGGAAGCACTGAACTCAGGGCCTCCAACATGCCAAGCATGTTGTCCAGCCCAGCCCCCCCCTCCCATTTTTTAAACATATCTGATAGTGTGAGAATGTGTCTGGAAAACAAACCTATGCTATTAATCTTATCAGGCTTTTTATCTCATATTTTACATATAAATTGTTAAATTTAAAATATAAAATTTAATGTGAAGAGGATAATTTAAGTTCAGAACTCAAAAATCACTTTGAGACTCTAACTTGCCATTACTAAACTTAAGAAACAGCATCTTTACCTGTTTGGCATTTTCTATGTATGCGGCCATGTACTCATATGCAGCAGCTTGAGCGTTTACTCGGGTTTCAGTGCCCTCTACAGGCAGAGCAAAACTGTCCATAATGATCATGGTTTCACCATCCACCTTTCCAAGCATCAAACCCATCACTTCTAAGTTGCCTCCTGATCTGGCATGCATCACCATTTTCAACAGAGCAAGTGCTGAGATTTTACAGTACTTAAAGTAATGGTGACTAAAAAAAAAAAAAAAAAAAAATCACGGTGTAATTAAATTTCTTATATTAAGTGCAATTTCGAAAGACTTTTTGCAAATATACTGACTACTGAAGGGATCTTCAGGTATGGAATGGGTGCATAAAATATGAGATTAGAAAAAAGGAAGAGTTTTTGCATGCCTTGGAAATAATAACCATGCAATAGTCCTGTGAAGTATTCCCTCCTGGAGGAAGGGAAAAATCTGAAATAAACTGTTCAAATGAGGGAATAACAATCAGTTTAATAGACTTTTCCTCCATTAATCCGAAATCACCATGTCTCTGATTTTGACTCTGATTGAATGGTTGCACCTAAACCTTCTGAGGCCTAACAGTTATGAATTTGGGCTGTGACACACACATGGCTGAATCTACTACTCCCCAACTGTGATGGTACGTGCTACAACCACTTAAATCTATGCCTCAATTTTCTTATCTGTAAATAGGAAATACCATACTTGTCTTTAGAATGTAATAAAGTAAATAAACTATATAAAGTGCTTAGCTTAGTTCCTGGCATGAACTAAAACATTAACAAGTGCTATTATCAGCATTAATAACCTGTTTCCTATGGTGCTCTCAAAATAACAGTGTTGAAGGGTTTGGCTTCCTTTTCTGATATCAACTGCAAAATAAAAAGTAACTGTAATTACCTCCTGACCACTATTGTAGCCTATGATTGGAAGTGTTTAACTTCCTGAATAAAATTACATTTTGTTATCATTGATGCTGCCTGAGAAAGCTACACTTACTATAAGTACAGCCACTGACTGGGAAGCAAGCTGATGTGCTTCCAAATATTTTATAGATTACATTAACCTAAAATGCATAGATAGCATGCTACAGAATTAACCAGTCAGACAACTAACCAGGCTATATAATGTGGTTAGTCAATGTCTCTGAGAAGCTTCATAAATGCCTGCCCACAGAAAACAATTAAGTTTAATTCTCAATCTTTGGCAGATTTCAACCACAAGCTGAAAGACAAGGTCACTTGTCTTGGAAGTCATGTCATGAAATCTTGGCTCTCTCATTTAGTGAGAAAACAAAAAAAAAAAGATAAAACATTACTGTGCTCCCATTACACATATTTTAGAAGCTTTTTATGTATTACATCTAATTTTCATGATATCATTAGGTAGGTTTTATTTTTGTTTTACAGATAAATTTTACCTGTACTGCAAACATAGTTTTAAAAAGTCAATGAAAACATAGTACTAGGTTGTCATTTGTCATGAAGACTGTAAAGATTTGTAGCTCAGTGCCCTCCCTATATTAAGAACTTAATAAAAATTGCTAAAACTAGACAGTTAAAGTCAGCCTTGTAAAAAACTGAGGCGAATTGCTGGGTGTGATGGTGCACACCTGTAATTCTAGCAACTGGGAGGCTGAGGCAGGAAGATCATTTAGAGTTCGAGGGCCAGCTTGGGGTTGGGGATTTAGCTCAGTGGCATAAGCACCTGCCTTGCAAGCAGGCGGTTGTCAGTTCAATCCCCGGTACCGATTAAAAAAAAAAAAAAAAAAAAGGCCACCCTGAACCACACAGTGAGATCCTGTCTCAAAAACCTAAACAAAGTAAACGAACAAAACTGAGACAGATTAAATATGTTATCTTGTTGATCACAGCTTTATTTTTCTATTACTGTGGTTTTGGACTCATCCCTAATAAAATCTTTCTCATGAAAAAAGATGTTATGGGTAAATAATCCTGGTCTTATTTCTGGGGTACTTGGGATTTTTAAAAAGTACAAAGAGCCTTAAGCTTTATTTTTATAACTTCTAGTTTATGTGTACAGTGGAATAACATTTTAGAGACTGGATAGAGCCTTGACTTGCTTGTAATTAGAAGAAATAAAAAACGATTGTAGATTTCTAAAAGACACCTCCTAGCTATTTTTCCCTGGCCTGTCGATTCATTTTCTGAAAACAGCTACAATCCCCAGTTTGTGATCAGGTGAAGGTCCCAACAAGGTACACATCGACATGGGTCCAAGGCAGATTGGGTAGCATATGTGGCAACAGTGATGTTGAGAAAACGACAATTTAAGTCGCCGCTTGTTCTCCTTTTACATCTCTAGGGGCAAATGGATTAAACAGACAAAAACAGGAGTCAGAGCAGGCCCTAGTGAAGAGGCTCAGGGAAGATCAACATCTCCCAAGCAGTTATTCTTCCCCTTTCCCTCCGGGGAAGAGACGCTCTCCACCCGCTTTAACTCCCCCATCCCTGGGTTTTTTAAACTCCCGCCATCCCTTCCCTCCCCAGCGTCTCGCCAGGGACCTCCTCACTCCTTAGTCCAGGGCTTCGCTGCCAGGATTTCTTGCTGCTGTTTTTTGTCGTATTTGTAGATTTCATCGATACTCTGGGCTTCCTGCATATTGTTGGCCAGTTCCCAGGTTTTCTGAGCCATACCGCTCCCGGACGCCGCCATCGCCGAGGAATCAGAGAAGTTCTTGCCTCCACAACCAAGACTCAACTTTACTTCGTTAGGTCTTGGGATGTGGGCCTCGGATCTTCCTCACCGCGGGTGCAAACTCTACCAGACTCTCGAGGCAGCCATGACACCTAGGACCGGAAGTAAGGCTGGTTCAAACCATTCGGGCAGGGGTCCTTCAGTAAGTACTATAAAAAGCAATTAGTTTAATAACTGGAAAGCGAATAACAATAGTCTTGTGTATGAAGTGAGAACATATAGCCTTAAAAAGTGTATGTATGAATTAGAACAAACACAACGATTCGTTATAGTAATGGTATAACTTTTCGTACCGGAAGAAGGGCTTAATAACGGTTACCAGAAACTACAATTAGGCGTCTCAGTTTGTACTGCGCAGGCTCGGGTTCCACCATGTTAGATGTGGGTGGAGCAAAAGAGCAGAGGTAAAAGTGTTTTTTATATGCATGCAGGTATCTGAAAAAGTACGTTGCAAGACTGAAAAGTAAGGATGTCTTGGGAAAGTTTGAGATGTAAGTAGTTGTGGATGTTGAGTTTTTGGAAAGGAAGATAAACATGCCATCTATTTTAAAATGATTGCACGTGGATAAATCTTGCGGGCTCGTGGCGGTTTGGTATTTCGCGCCTACCAGTAGATGTGCCCTCACTGGTGTTGTGAGGAGACTGAACACGCGTGAATTGCTAAGGTCATAACTTTTGACGTATTTATAAAGTTGAAATCTATATGTGTTATGAACTATTGTTCTGCAAATGACCAGCACTCAGTTTTATATGTAGGTTCCAGGTTAGTCTTCAGTTCGCTCCTGTGACCTGCCTTTGGAGTTAATTCCAGCAACTCGTTTCTTCTGACAGTTAATAAGATGTTTCATTGCTTCATGTATTAGATTGCTCAGTCCCATCTCTCCTTTCTCACTGGATTCTAAATTTCAAAGCACAGACCAAGCCTGTGTTTATTTTTTATCCTTAACGTCTGCAAGTATTTAATAGCAGTTTTTATGAGGTTAAGGGAAGCATTCCAGTTCTTCATAAGCCAGTCTTTACGAGCTTCTTCAATTTAATCTCTTTAGTCCTTCCTGGAGCTTTTTGTCCCATCATTGCCAGTACACTGACTGGCTTAGTAGGGCAGTATGTATTCAGCATTGCTGGAAATGCGGTTCTCTTGACATTCTGCCAGGGAGCTCCTATTGATCTTTAATAACGCACTAAGAGATCGCTACCATGCATCTTTTCTGGACTTTTCCCTGTAACTGTATATTTTATGCTGCCTCTAATGCTCTGTAGCTGCTTTTATAATTGTCAGCTTGTAATGAATTTATGTCGAAAATTTCCTTTTCACTGTAACTTTTGAGTCTTTCACTTCTAGTGTATGGTGCATCACATAGTTAAAAGCAGAAACAGAATTAATGACTACACACAACAGCATGTGGTTTAGACATTTATTTCATCTGGAGATTATTTTTCTTTAAAACTACCTTATAAGAGGAATCAGGAGTGGTGGTACATGCCTGGGAGGCTGAAGCAGGAGAATCTTAAGTTGGAGCCCAATCTTAAGTTGGACACTTTAACGACTTAGCAAGACGTTGTCTCAAAATAAAAAATAGGAGCTGGAGATGTGGTTTAATGTGAAGACCTTGAGTCCGAGCCTCAATACAAAAAGGAAAACAAAACCCAACAAACTTACAATGGAAGTTAGGATAAAGTAGGGTCCTTAGAATACATTAGTAACAACAGTTAAACTCTCATAGGAAGGTAGATATCGCTTTTCTAATGGTAGTATCTGGCCCCTAGATTAAACTGAATAAAACGTTGAAGTTGTAATGAAAGCCCAGGACACAACGTTGACCAGACTCCTGGGCTAGGAGTAATGCTTTGGGGAAATATGCTACGACTTTCCCTCACTTTTTTCCTTTCTAGGATCAGACACTTCCTAGACCGGCCGGCCCGTGGGGATGAGGTTCGGGAGGGGCTGGAATCAACTTTAACCTTAGCTCCCAAGATTTAACGGTCTAAACGCTGCAGAGGAACTAGGTGGTTGAGCAGGCTAGCCTTGCGAGCGGCTGGGATGTAGTGCGACCTCCCAGAGGGCTGGGGGCGCCCTCCACTGCGCGGCTTTCCCAGCCGCTCCAGCGGGGCGGGGCCGCGCCCGGCAGTTGGCCAAAGCCTGGCGGAGGGATGGGCCTGGGAGGCGGGGCGGCTTGTCACAGGGTTTCTGCGCCGGGCAGGGAGCGGAGAACCGCGCTGGGTCGCTGCGCGTGGCCCCCGGCCCTGAGCCTGCTTTCTGGAATAAGAGTCCGCCGGCCGGGGTCGGTGAGCAGGCCTGGCGGGGTGCGGCCGAGGTCGTGCGGGGCGAGAGTTCCAGAGCTGGACTCCGGGCTGCGGGCGGGGGCCCGGACCGAGGGCTGAATTCGCGTGGCGACCGGGCCGGCGGGCCCAGAGTTACAGACGCTGGAGTTAGGGGTTTGAGGTGGGGATCGGGAGCCTGCTGGGCTTGACGAGGGGAGGTCCCGGAGTCATGGAGATCGAGGCTTGGAATTTCGGGGCTGCCTGGGCTGCACCTACTGGATTACGGGACTTGGGGGCGGGGTTCCCTGATGAAGGGGTCTTCGGCCGCCTGACTGGGGTGGTGCCGAAATTAACCGCGTCTGGGCTGTGCGTTCCGGCAGCTGTCCCGGGGTGGTGTCTAGGTTACGGAGGCCAGGATTTCCTATGGGTGGGCAGGGAGCTTGCGTCTGCCGGCCGCAGTCGGTCCCCTGGTTACACGGACTGGACTCTCGGGCCGCCGCTGTCTTGGCCCAGGTTGGTGTTGAGAACCAGTTGCCTGACAACGCGCTGACGCTTTCTAGAGTCAGCCACTCCCAGCACCCAGAGACCGGCGCACCCTACCTCCGCGGAGGTCAGGCCGCTGCTGCCAGGCTAAGCCTCCCAGAGCGGCGGAGGCGGCGTCATCGTCCTCCTCCTCCCCTTCCTCCTCCTCGGGAATGGTTAATGTTTAACGCTTGTTTACTAGTGAACCGCGGCACTGCTCTTAATGCTTTGCTTTGCAAGTAAAAATGTTCACCTTATCCCCTATGAGATCGGTGCTGGTATTTATCCTCCGCTTTCCACCCCTTGGTTAACTGGTCACTTGAACTTGAGCCTCTTCTTTAAAACTGCTTTGATTTTTAGGACTTACCTGGAATTTAATTCAGTTTTCATTGACTATTAGCCATGGGACACATTTTTTGAGAGAGTCTAGTTCTCAAGATTATAGGATTAAAAACTTAAATTTGGGGGAAGACGTGATGCTGAAGTGAACCATCAGGTTTTCAAACACTGTAAAATGCAGAAGCGTGAAAGCATCCTGAGAGGCTCTATTTTATATGAAAGAATAGCTTGTCATATGGACAAGCAAAAGGAATCCCTTGGAAACCTGTAAGGTGTTTCCTTTTCTCCTTGTCGTTCTCTGGTTTTTTTTGGTGGTTTAGTATCTGCTGAAATGCTCTACAAGAGGAACTTTTGAGGCAGGGAGCCGGTGGGTTTAGGGAAGGTAATTTTAAACAGGGTGCTTTCAGGATGGTGTTTCTGAAAGTGAGGTTTTCAGATATATAGATTTAAGTGTTATAAACTTAAACAAATTTCAAATTTTTAACATCATCCCAACATACGTTGTGTTCTTTTCTGAAAGGTAGAAATATTTGGGCAATTTCGCATAACCCAAAAGCTATCTAATGTATGCTGCTGCCCCTAGTCACCGTTAGTGATGCTAGAAGACTTCAAGATGGTTTTAGTATAGTTTTCATTTTTTTCTTTGTGTCCTCCTTTGGTCTCCAACCTCTGTCTCTTTCCCCTAGTTTGTAGTACTGTATTACTTTTTGTTGGTATTTAGATTTGTCAAACTTTAGGGATACTTTTGGGAATTTTCTCGTGTGTATGGCATCTGTCAGGAGAAAAAGAACCTTTAATTTGGTGGGAGACCTCCAGATAGATAAAGTGGGAAACATTTTTCTGGTCACCGCCGCCCTTTCAAGAGCTCTTTCACAGGCTCTTCTCCCACCCCAGCCTACATGTTATCACTTCTATATTTGGTTCTATTTATTCTAGTATCTTTTCCCCTAGCAGCCTTTTCATAATTTAACTGCTATTAAATTTAAATACTGCTAAACCTTTATGTGGAGCTTGGGTTTTATTGAGTCCCACATGTATTTAAATTGTTTTCTTAATATCTCTACTGGATCCTGTATATCACATTCAACCTGTAAAACCCTGTCTGGCTATACTGTGAGTCACTGTGGCATGGAACATTAAACTTACCTAAACTTGATGGTAAAGACCATGTTTTATTCATCTTATTCCCCTAGCATGTAGCACAAAGTCTTGCTTTAGGAGGGCAGTATTTCCTGTTTCTCTTGCTTCGATAGCAGAAAGAAAATTGACACTCTGCTTGGAGAGGGAAAAGAGTAGAGCATTTTCCTGCTCTTTGTGATTTATGAAATTGAGGAAAGGAATTAGGTATGCTCATGTTTCTGTGTCCTTTTGTGTTTTGGATTTGCCTAGTCTTAGCAGAATGGATAAGTTATGCTCTTCATATATTTCTTTTCATATAAAAAGCACTAGTAGCCTAAACTTATGATTTAGAGGTGTTGTATTTGGAGGTCTGCCTCTTTTTTTTTAAGATCCTGGGAACTGAACTGGTAGCCTCAAGCATGCCAAGCGGGTGCTCCCACACTGAGGTAGACACCATCAGCAGAAGGAGGCTTTCTTTTTGAAAAGTGAATGTTTATACACAGAATGACTATGGAAATACAGTAATTAATAAATAACTTAGTGATTCTAAATGTCAGGTTTTGTGCCATATATATTAATGTATTTTATTTTTTCTTCATAACAGTCTTGGAGTAGGTAGCATTTTCATTTTATAGATGAGGAATTTTAGGTATATATAGAGAAGGAATGAGCCTGACACATCAATCACATTGTATCAATAAACGATGGAAATGAATTTCAAAGTCTAGGTCTTTCGGAAAAACTGAAAACTCTCTGCATACTGTGTAAATGCCTGTTCAGAATACTTGAGAAAGCCTGATGTGGTGGTGCATACTTGTAATCCCAGAATTTAGGAGACTGAGGCAGGAGGATCACCATGAGTTCCAGTCCAGCCTCGATTACAGAAGTGAGTTCAGTGAGACCATGTCTCAAAAAAAAACTCCAAATAAACAAAAAACCAAAATAGCTTTGGAAAAATATCTGTTAATAATATTGTGAAAAAAGTTGTGAGTGATATATTGTAGATTGTGAGGAAGATAGTCCCATTTAGGTTTCTTTCAGTTGATTTTTCTGGCAATTTAATCCATAAGTTATAAACATTCTTACTGTATTTTGCACATAGGTTCTCCCCATCACCCCACTCTTTTATTTACTAAGTAATTGGTGAATAATTTTATAGCTGAAATGGTTCTGTGTAAGTTGTCAAGTGCTTTTAAGAGTGAGGAAAAGTGTCCATGACAACTAGAGATTGGCTTGTTTTGTCTAGGAGTTGTTTATTAGGAATTAGCCTGACCTGGTAGTGGCTTAGTGTCTTTCTGCTGAAGATAAACAATTCTGTAGAATTTTAACATCAAAATAAGATGAATCAAGAGATGAACAAATATTTCACAGATAAAATATGAAATAGTGTATAAATCAGTAGTTCCCAAACTTTCTGCCATCAGGAACAGGTTTTGTGAAGGCAGTTTTTCCATGGATAAGGGTTTTGGGATAGTTTTAGGATGATTCAAAAGCATTACATTTATCACGTACTTTGTTATTACATTGTAATATATATAGTAAAATAATTACACACTTCACTATAATACAGGATTGGGTAAATAAATAAAATAATGAATGGGCCATGTGCAGACTAAAATAAGTATTGGATTTTAAGTAAAATCTTACCACTTTTATGTAGCTTGTCACTTGCCATTTACTGATAAGATTTCAGTATGAGTTTGGGAGCAATTATTATTTTTCTGCACAGTTAAACCTCTGCTAATGTTAATGTGTATTTGTAATCTTTCCTCAGTCTCAGCTCCACCTCAGATCATCAGTCATTAGATTTTCAACTTAGATCCTATGCTTGTGCAGTTCATACCAGGGTTTGTTGCTGCTATGAAAATTTAGTGCTGCTGCTGATCTGACAAGAGATGGACCTCAGGTCATAATGTGAGTGATGGGAAGCAGCTGTAAATAGGGATCACGCTTCACTCTCCCTGGCAGTTCACCTCCTATTGTGCAACCTGGTTCTTAACAAGCCCCTGACTGGTCCCTCACAGCTACAAAGTACCAAACAGTCCTTCTTCAAGCTGGTAGAAATGACCTGTGTTTCTTTACAGGTGTAGCCTCATGCTATCAGTAAAATTTATTAAGATGTCCAATCCTATAGCCTAGGTAGTACATGCCTGTAATTCCAGCACTTGATAGGCAGAGACAAGAGGATCACTACCACAAGTTAGAGGCATTTCTGCTTAAATTCTGTGTGAAATCCTTTGGCAAGATACATGTATTATCTCATCAATTTTATTTCTGTCACATATTTAGGAAAATTAGAATTTTAAAAAGTGATTTTTTTTCTACTTGAAAACTTATTTGCTGTTGAGCTATTTTGAATATTTACTAGGAAGTTTTTCATGACAAATAGCAAGCTAATAGTGACCAAAATATATTAACTTTTGTTGGTTTGGGATATAGTTTGGTAAAACTATACTTTAAAATTAATGTTCTTTTTGGAAGTAGTAATGGCATGAAATTTATATTATGTATTGCTTTATCGATAACAGTTTCAATGTTTTTCTTTTCTTTTTTTTTTTTTTTTTTGTTACTAGGGATCGAACTCATGACCTTGCACTTGCCAGGCAGGTGCGTATGCCACTGAGCTAAATTCCCAGCCCCAAAGTTTTTCTTTTTGATACTAGAGATTGAACCCAGATGTGCTCTACCACTGAGCTATATCCTCAGCCTTTTTAATTTTTTGCTTTCTTGAGACAGCATCTCTCTAAGATTTTCAGATTTGACTACAACTTGTGATCTTATTGCCTTAGCCCCCAGTACCTGAGATTATGGGCATGTACCACCACATATTCAACATACTGTGTTTGGTAAAGCATATACTTCTACATTTTTACGGATTCTCATTTTTTCCAAAATGTTACATTCACTGGACACATTCTTTTTCTTTAAATTTTTTGCATTTGAAATTATTTATCAGTTCTTTTGTAGTTTTTCCCTCTTTTCCTTCACTAATTAAATTGACCAGAGTTTTAAAATATCCTTTTACTCATTCCTTCTATGTATTTTTTCCTAGCTTCAATTTTGTCACCTCTGCAAGTAAACATTGCCCAGCATTTAGTTCTGGGTCATTGTTTGTGCTCACTTACTAGGGCCTTGGCTATTATGTTTAATATAGTTAACTCTTAAGCAAATGTCTCTATTGTGGTCACTACCTTGAATTTGAGTCTTGAAGTTTCTAACCATCTGCTGGAAATTTCCATTAGTACATTTTATAACTTCAGCTTAATTTATATAAATCAAACCTTTCCAAACTAGCCAGTTTGTTTCATGCAGGATTCTGTGCACGTTTTGTTTCTAGGCCTTAACATGTTAGTCACTAGATTTTCTAAAACTCTGCTTTAAGAAAAATTCTAGTTTCAGTGAGAGTAGGGTTTTTTGTTTTCTTTAAATGGTGATGGCTCCTGTGGTGGCACATGCCTCTAATCCCAGCCATAGAGGCCAGGCAAGGAGGCTCACTGTGAGTTTGAGGCCAGCCTGAACTCCTTGTGAGACCTTGTTTCAAAAAACCAACCAAACAAACAAAGCAGCTCCCAAACCCAAAGCCAGGTGTGATGGTGCATGCCTATAATCCCAGCTACTCAGGAGGTTTTTTTTTTTTTTTTTCTTCCTCTGTGGTGGTACTGGGGATTGAGCCCAGGACCTACATCCCTAAACCTTTTAAAAAATGTTTTATTTTGAGACACAGTCTCACTAAGCTTTGTCCAGGCTTAACTCAAACTTTTTATTCTTAGGACCCTTAGATTTTAAGTTTGTGCCATGCCTACTTTCTAGCTACTCTGGAGGATCAAGAATTTGAGGCAACCTGGATGATTTGAGACCCTGTCTCAAAATGAAAAGGGCTGGGGATGTAGCTCAGTGATGTAGGGCAGCTCTGGGTTCTATTTCTAGTACCATACAGACACGTAGGCCAGACACATACGCGCATGCACACACATGCATACACACAAACTACCTGAATGTTATATTCATATAGTGAAAAAAAAATTGAACCTTTTACCTTCCATACCAAACATTAACCTTAAATGGCTCGTAGGCTTTAATCGAGAGAGGAATTTTTAAAAAGTTCTAAGAAAACAAAAGCGCATATTGAGTTAGGTGAAGATTTCTTTGATATCATAAAGCTCAAACAATAAATTGATTGAAACTGATGAAACATTCGTAAATTGGACTTGATAAAAATTAAAAACTTTGGCTATTAAGATAATATCATTAAGAAAAATTTGCAGGGCCAGCAATATAGCTTAGTGGCCCAGAGCCTGCCAATCACGTGCTAGATTGTGAACTCGATACCCAGTACCAAAAAAAAGAAAAGAAAATTTACAAACCACAGCCTTGGAGAAAATATTTAAAAACATATTTGATAGGAAAAAACAATTTGATTATTAAAATGGGCTGAATATTTGAATAGACATTTAGCCAATGGCTATGAGTATGTGAATGGTAAACACATGAAAACATCGTCAATAGCATAATCATTAAGAGAAATGCAAATTAAAACCACAGAGAGCTGGGTATGATGGTTCATACATGTAATCCCAACACTCTGGAAGGCTGAAACAGCATAATTGCAAATTTGAACTCAATGTGGGCAGTTTAGCAATTTAGCAGACCTTGTCTTAAAAAATGAAAGAGGACTACTGATGCAGCTCAGTGCAAAGGCCCTGGGTTCAATCTCCAGTGCCATAAGAAACAAAACAAAAAGCATGTAGAGGTACTAATACATACCCATTAAAATAGCCAAAATCAAAAAGAATGAAAATAGTAAGCTTGAGGTTGTATAGAAGTTGTAACTCTTATACATTACTGATTGGAATATAAAATGATATAGCCAACACATTTTGAGGAATACCCTCAATGTATTAAACATAGAGTTTGTATGACCCTGCAGTTTTGCTAGGTCAAAGAGAATTGAAAACGTGTTCATACAAAAACCTGAATATGAGTGTTCATGACAGCATTATTAATAAATAGCCAAAATAGAAACAATCCAAATGTCTAGTAACAGATGAACACACAAAATATGCCATATCCATGTGATGGACTACAACTTAGCAGTCAAAAGCAAACACACTATTTACTACTCGATGTCTACTTACTGATAGGTGACTGCAAATATAAATCTGAGAAACAGTAGAAGAAGCCAGATAATGCTACATATTATTTGTCATCCATTTATAGGGAATTAGCAGATTAGACAAAACTATTGAAATAGAAGAGTCTCCCAAGTTCAGGAGCGAGTTTGGAATGACTGCAAAGAGGCGGAATGAGGGAGCTTCTTGAGATGGTGGAAATATACGATTGTGGTACCACTTGAACAACTGTGAATTTACTAAAACTTGTTGGTGCCACTCACTAAAGTGAGTGAATTTTTTTTATGTTACTTCTCAGTTAAAACAGCAATTTATACATTTAAAAATTCCAGGGCTTATTAACAAAATAAATTCCACATTAATGATAAACCAGTAAAGGGGATGAAGGGAAGGACTCTTGTTTATAATAGAATGAGTACTAAATAGGAGTGGTAGAATTAGAAAACTAGCTTTTTGTAGCCATAGAGCATCAGGTAGGCCCAACCAAGAGGTGTGATTGTAGAGCTGGGTATGGTTAGCACATGGTTGTAATCCTAGCCTTCAGGAGGCTAAGGCAGGAAGATTGAGAATTTGAGGCCAGACTGGGCTGCATAGCTAGTTCTTGGCTAATCTGGACTGGACTAAGACTCTTATCTCAAAAGGAAATATAAAGCAAAATGAAACGAAACAAACCAAACCAAAAAGGAGTCACCAATCTAAATCTAGGGGTATATGTTGATTAGGAGTAAGATATTTACATAATTAAAAATATTCCCAAGCAGACTGCTATTTGTAACAAGGATTCAAAAAAAAGCAGACTATATCATGGCTATGTGATCGGTAATTACTTCCACTAGAGAGGGGCAACTAGATAATACCTCTTTGCTGGTGACACCTTGAGAATGACACAGCTAAGTGTAGTATTCATGCTGAAAATGCTTAACCTAAATTTAGTCATTGGGAAACATTAGGCAAACCTCAGATGAGGACTTTTCTACTTAAAAGTTGGGTAATGGATGGTTTATATTAAAATACTATTTACGTTGTCAGAGACAAAGGTTTTGGAGATGTTCCAGATTAAAGGCCAAAGAAATATATGCTGTAAAATGTAGTAACTGAACTCGACTGGATCCTAAGCTGGAGAGAGGTAGAAAAATGTGCAGTATGGGCCATTATTGGGTCAAGTGACAAAATAATATGAAAAAACCTGGTGTTTCTGAAGTTGATAATTATGTTGAGATTATCTTAGAAAATAACCCAGTTCTACTTTTAGATCCCTAGGGAGTACTGAGGATCTAACCCAGGCCTCATGCTGCTCAGGAAGCACTTGATCACTGAGCTAGTCTCAGCCCATTCTTACGGGAGGCACACTGGAGAGGCCAGGGTAAAGAGCTGTGAGATGTGTAATTTAGCCTCTGAATAATTTTATTTTACACACACACACACACCTATACCTACCTCATGGGCACATTAAAATAAAGCCAGTGGAGCCGAATCTTACCAATAGGTAATTAGTAAATAGTACATGGGTGTTCTTGGTATTATTTGTGTAATCTTTCTGTAAATTAAAAATTTTCAAATAACTAAGCTGTTTATAAATGAAAAATGTTGACTCAAGAATTAAGGTTTTTTAGAAATTTCTTTAAAAGTATGTTGTGGGCTTTTCTGGGGAGTTGGGAGAGAGGAATCAGGTAGGCGTATTTATGATGAAGTTTTAAATCTGAAGTTCTCAATTTGCTAGGTGAAATTGAATACCAAATGTGGACTAAACCTTTATGTCAATACTTAGGCTAAAAATTCTGCAGTGTATTTGTGCTCATCTAAGAAGTATTTTTCCCCCGGAAGCTTCAAGATGGATGATAATTTGGATAAATTTATTGAAGAGCGTAAAGCCAAATTGGCCAAAGACAAAGCAGAACTGGAACATGACCCTCCTTACATGGAAATGAAGGTAAAGTTAGTATTTTTGTTCTAAGTTATTTTGAAAAATCTTTTTCTATGTAAATGCAAAGCATCTGTGTGAGAATCTTCTACTTCTTACTTTAATTTGGCTGTGCTATCACTCTGATTTTGAGAGTCTTACTCCACACAAAATTTTGATGATTTTGAATAGTTTTTCTTTCTTTTCTTTTGTTCTTTTTTTCTTTTAAACAGGGTCTTGTTAGGCATTTCAGGCTGGTCTTGAACTCACTTTGTAGCTCAGGCTGTACTTGAATTCACAGTGATTCTCTGCCTTAGCCCCTTGAATGCTGGATTGCAGGCATGCGCCACCATGCCAGGCATTCACAAAATGTTCAGGAAACCAGTTTTTGTACAAAGAACTTTCAGAAAACAAAACCACAAAAACAGAAGTAAAAGCATATTTATGTATTCTGTGTAATCGGTAGATTTTATTTATTTAATTTATTTTAGTTTTTTGAGACAGAATCTTACTCTGTAGCCCAGGCATGCCTTGAATTCACAGCAGTTCTGCTTCAGCTTCCCAAGTGCTAGAATTGTAGGCATGTGCCACCACACCCAGCTCAATAGTTAGATTATTTAATGAATCACTTAAAAAAGCTTTCCTGAAATCTACATTTGTGAATTAAGATAGTATATTTTGTACTGCTTACTTTTCAGAGTATAAATTTGTTAATATGAAGTTTAAGTTTTTCTCATTTTGACAAAAGAGCAATTCATCCACTTGGCAAATATTGACAGTACTTTACTAATCTATACATACACCATATCATCTCTCATGTATATGTAAAGAGATAGAGCATGTAGACTAGTCTGTGCCATATGTTGGGTTGTAACCATATAGATACATTACTTTGCCCAAGTCGTTTCTGGCTTATCTGTTGTGCATTTCTCATCAGATTTAGCATTTGTCTCAGTGGCCCACATCTGTAATCCCAGCACTTGGGAAGCTCCGGCAGGATTCCAAGTTTGAAGCCAGCCTGGGCTAGATAGTGAGCTTGAGGCCAGCCTGAGCTATATAATGAGACCCTGTCTGAAAAACCAGAAAAAAAATAAAAGAAGTATTTTTACTTACATAGCTACTGTTTATTGAGTGCTAGCTATTGATAAGACATAGTCTTAAAGGTTATATTTCATAGGGATCTATGATGTGTAAGTGCTGCTATAATTTTCCAGATGACTAAACTCGGGAGATATGAAGAGGTAAGTACTGTAAAATAAAAACCAAGGATGTAGTTGGTAGAACCAGGCTTTGATTCTTGGTATCCTGACTCCAGTGCTTGTTTTTTGAGCAAGCTTATAATAATCATCCTTAAAATAACCCTTAAAAATAATCAAAACAAGGACCTGTGCCAACAGCTTTATCATTTCATTTGTTTGTAACATGCATGAGTGACTTGTTTTTTTTTAGAAGTTTGTTTTATACATAAAAAAAGTGAGGCTCATGAGTGGTAGATTCAGGATTGACACTTTCATTGAATTCTGAAATCTTTGTTATCTATTTATTTACTTATTTTTGAGTCCAGATCTTGCCATTTATCCCTGGCTGACTTTGAACTGACAGTGATTTTCCTTCCTTAGCAGCCTCCTGAGTGCTAAGATACAAGTGAGTGCCAGCATGCTTGGCCTTTGAAGTCTTTGCTCTTAATCCCTCTAGTATTATGGGCTAAGTTATACAGTGTTTGGAGTTACATGGTTTTGAGTATGTGAGTTTTAGTATAGGTTTATATCTCTAGTACTAAAGTACCACATGAATAGTTTTTTCTTGTAATGCTGAGGAACATGAATAATAATCTTTATGTGTCTCTTCCAGAGTCAGCTGCTTAAGGCTTTGTAGTCCCTCCCATAGGTTTTTTTGGCCTCCTAACCTTGTTTTAAAATTTTTTTCATAGCCCCCCATCACTGTTTATATTGTATAATCTAATTGTATACTCTTACTGTGTTTCTTTCCAGCAGTTTTTTTTTTTTCTTTTTTTTTTTTTCTTTTTTTTGGCACTAGGGATTGAACTCAGAACCTTGTGCTTGCCAGACAGGTACTGTGCCACTGAGCTAGATCTCAGGCCCTTCACCAGCAGTTTTTAAGTTTTATAAAGGCAAAAATTCTTTTTTTTTAAAAACTAATATTAGTATTTCCAATGCTTGGTACAATGTCTGAGATTTAATAGGAAGTTAGTGAATATTTATTGATAAGTGAATGAGTTAAGTATTGAGATATTTAGGGCTGGGAATGTAGGTCCATGGGTAGAATGCTACCTATCATGTGTTAGACCCTAGGTTTGAGTCTCACTACCATTCCATATTAGAATATTTATTACAGTATTTAAATACCTTTGGTTAGTTTCTCAAGCCTTGTACTGAATCTCTTTTAGAAGGTACCATATAATTTTGTCAAGGTGTTTAATGGAAGTTGCGAGATGAATTGCATACTTTGTTGGATTTTTTTTTTCTCCTTGATTTGTAAATATTATGTATTTCAGGGAAAGACATCAGAGAAGCTTTCTGAAAATAGTAAATTATTAATCTCCATGGCTAAGGAAAATATTCCACCAAACAGTCAACAGACAAAGGGGTCTTTAGGTACGTCATCAGATGTGGTCAACTGTACTGCAACATGTCCTAATAAAGATAAGTTTTAAAAAAAGGAAAAAAGGATGTGCCAAGCTGAGTGAGAATGTCATGAAAGAGATTTTTTGTGTCAGATAAAGCATTTGTTTTTATCCTACTAATTTTCCTCTCTGGAATCTTACCTAAAACAACATGATCTATATTGGACCTGTTTTTGTATGATACTGCCTTGATTATATTTTATTTAAATCATAGCAGTAAGTGTAGTGTAATTACATGTAATGTAATTAAAAGTTAATTGAAAAATTTGAATGGAATGTTGGTTTTGTATGTGAGATACTCCTTATTTGTTGAATAAAATGATGGACTTGTTTAAAAAAATCAAAGAATACACTTAAAGTATACCATATCTTATTTGCTGAAAGACTGTCATTTAATTATTGATGACTATTGCAATTATAAAGAAGTCAGTGGTACAGCTGTATTGATTTTTTAGTGTATGTGCGGCTAAACAGAGCATTATAGTCACATAAAGTTTTTATTATGGTTTGGTATAAAAATATTTAGAAACTACAACATTTTGGCTTGTTGGTAAGTATACTTTTTAACAAAATATATGAATATTTATAGTATACATTTTGTGAATTATCCATGATAACTGAAACTTTTGCACAAAAAATAAGCTAAATGTGATGAGTTTATTTGTTTAAAGCATGTTCATATGTAGACTTTTTTTTTTCATGGCCATAGGTATACTCCTAGGTTGTTACATGAATTTCGACTTTGTATGCCTTTGGATAAAAAGGGACTGGATAATTAGTGGGCTTTTGTTCTCTTTACTAGAAAAACAGCCCAAAATGAATGCTCTTTTAGTATCAGCTATATTGCTGTCTCTTTCAGTTTTGATTCTCTTACAGATTATTAGCTAATACAGCTTTAGTGAATTAAAATATTATCTTTTGGTAAAGTTCCTTAATCTCTAAGGTCCTCAGTTTCTTTAGTCATAAAATAAATTGGGTTCTCTTATAAATGTTTATTAATTAAAAACTTGATTATCCTGAGATAATTTTTAAAAGCTTATTTTCAAAAAAATTTAAAATTTTTATTGGTACGTATTTATAGTACATAATGATTACATTTAATTTTGAAGAATGGGTACATATGCATAATATCTCAATTGTTTTCTCTTTCTCCTTTACCTTTTTTAAAAAATATTTTTTTGCAGGCATCAGATTCATTTATTTATAAGTATTTACCAAGTTAATTATCGTAAGTACAGATTAACAGCCTGATTACCAGCCAAAAAACATTAAAAAAACTTAAAAGTTCTAATAGTAGAGTCTTTCAAATATTAGGATCACTAAGGTCAGACAGAATCACTTTAAAATTCTCAGATTACAAGTAGGGCATCATGGCGCAGGTCTGTAATCCCAGCATTTGTGAGGCTGATGCAGGAGAATTGCTGTGAATTTGAGACCAACCTGGGCTATAAAGTGAGTTGAAGTCCAGCCTGAATTATAATGAGACTCTGCCTCAAAAACCAAACATATAAAAAACTCAAGTTACAGCTTGTATTGAATTTTTTAGCTTTTTGTTTAATAATCAACCTCTGTCTTAAAAAAGGCACCTGTGATTTACAGTCCTAGCAATTTGGGAGGAATTGGTAGGAAACAGGGCTCTAAGCTTGAGTCCCGCTTGGCCAATTTAGCCAGTGTCTCAAAGAAAGAAAAAAAATCCCTGGGAAGGCCCTGGGTTCAATCTTCAAGGCCATATTTTTAAAAAAAGTTTGTTGTGGGATAATTTAATAATATGAATTGGGAGTGGTGTCTTATGTCTGTAATCTCAACATTTGGGAGACTAATGCAGGAGAATCTGCAAGTTTGTGGTCAACTGGACTATGTAATGAGTTCAAGCCCAGCCTAGCATATGACCCAGCCTCAAAAATAAAACAAAACAAAACAAAAAAAGAAAAATCAAACACATATAAAAAGACAACTAACACATAAGTGATCATACTAAAAAGGTTTTTTGATTGAGAATTACATGAAGAATTTAAGAATTATTCTTTGATTGTAATGTTCACAAATGGTGGAGTTTAAAGTTTAGTAACTTAACCAAGTACGGTGGTGTATGCCTGTAACGCTAGCACTCAGGAGGCTGAATCAGGAGGATCACTGCAAATTTGAGGCCACCTGTGCTACATAATGAGTTTGAACAATATAGTGAGGTTAGCCTGAATTATGCTGTGAGACCTTGTTTCAACCTCCCCCCCCCAATTTTTTTTCTTTTAGTCATTTAAAGACAATACCCTTTGTCTATTCAATTAATGGTGTAAGACTCTGATGAAGGTCCTCTTCTTGCATTGTACATGCCCTGTGTGACTGTCTCTACTTCCAGAGCTTTATTTAACATTAGCATATCCATGATTTCCAAATATGTATTCCAACTCCACTTTCTATTGTGAACTTTAGATTGCAAGCTTTTTTTTATGAACTTCAGATAGCAATATGTACAGTATCTTATTTCTTCTCGATATCTGTACTTAGATGTCATGGGCTCAAAATCAACTTGTATAAAATTAATTTATACCCCTTGCCAACTTTCTGGTGCTTTTCTTAGTCATCCTTGACTCTACTCTTTCTCTACCTTCTGCATCAAGTAATAACCAGTTGACTCTAATGCCTGAATCTCAAATAAGTTCATTTTTCTCCAGCCCCACTAGCATTCTTTTATGTAGGCTTCCATTGGCTCTCATTTATCTTTTTGAAGTAGCCTCCTGTTCTTCTTGTTTTATAGTTTAGCTCTACTGTACTGCATTTCTATACTGTTTTTGATATTTTCCCCAAAAATGAGTCGGATCATGTTAGTCCCAGCTGCAAACCTTTCAGTGGCGTCATATTTCCATACAGTTTTGCCATTTCATTTCTTCTAGCTTGGGTTGGCCCTTCCTGCTGTGTCCTCCTAAGCCACTGGTTCTCCCTTAAAGGATAGTTTTGAACTTGTTCACCTTTTTGTTATATCACAGTGTTATGCTAATTTACCTGCCATTGCATTTCCATTATTTGGCACTTTGGTGCATGGCAAAGATATTTTGAATGACTTCATCCATATTCCCATTTCAAAAACAAGGTCAGTTCTTCTAGACGCATAGAATTTAATTTTTATGGAGTTTTTTTTTTTCCTGACTAAAACTAATTATTTTTGTTGTACATTAAATCTTACTAAAGAATATCATAAGTTGACTAATTTTATAATTTAAAAGCTTTCAGTTACTGTCTTTTTTCCTGAATAATTGTGACTTTAAAATTGGACCAAATATATAGTTTTTGATTCTGGGAAAAATGTGTTTGGTAATTGAGAGTTTTTCTTACTTAAGTGGGTTCATCTACAACTTAGAAAAACTGGTTTGATAAAGGCTATTTTGAAATTGTGTATTGACTTAAGAACTGTGACAGATGAATAAATAACCATTGTAGTAATCATATAAGTCAGATATAGTAATTATATAAGTCAGATACTCATTTTGGCTATTGGAAACAGTATTGATAACTTATGTAACCTTCTTGTAACATTTCATTTTCATGATTTCATAATTTGTTAGATTCTGATGATATACGTGGATGCTATCCATGTGGTTCATTTTCCCACAATTTTGTCTCCCACAGAAGGATTTAAAGTAGTGTTACAGTGACTTTTGATAACTATCTGGAGTTGAACCAGTAAGAGCACAGTTCTATGTAAGACTGTTCTCACTTTAGACCACTAGCTGCAAGTTTAGAAAGCCTCAGCTCATCCTCACGTCTTGACAGCTGGTTAAAAATTTGAGGCCATTTGGTACCCGCTTGGGTTCAATAATTACCTTGAATAACAGACTTACGATAACAGTTTTACTTTACCAAAAGTATACAGATCAGAAGCAGTTAAAGGGAAAATCACATAGGGCAAGGTGTGAGAGGATCCAAATGTGAATTTCTGTTGGCCTTAGGGATGCATCACTCTCCTGGCACATTGGAGTATAACAGTGCACAGAGTATTGCCAGCCAGATTCACTTTGAGTTGTAGTAGTCACTATTTTTATTGAGATTTCTTTGTGTAAGCATGATTGAATTGCTGCCCATCACTGAATTTCTAGGCCTCATACTTTCTCCTTAGGTCTGATTGCTGTCAGGTGGCCCAGAGACCCAATCCTGTAATCCTGTGGTTGATCTTGTGGCATGATCAGCCCCCACTTGGGTCATCTTTTTACACAGGCTCTTTAGGAACATCCCATGATTTATTTCCTATAAACTATTAGGTAAGGGCAGATAGAACCACCATGAATAATAGAAACACCATATGTTAATATAAATACCAGAATCCTCAATAAAATACTAGCACATTTAATCTAGCAATATATAGAAATAATTATTCATTATGGGTAAGACATTTATCCTAAGATCGCAAGTTAGTATTAACTTCTGTAAATTAATGTTATGTACTAAATAGAGTTAAGGACATAATCTTACTAGATCCAGAAAAAGTATTTGACAAAATCCAATGTGCTTTCAGGATAAAAACTATCAATAAACTATGAATAGAAAAGACCCTTTATCCATGAAAAAAAAGACATATATAAAATACTGCCAACATCATCATGTTGGTTTATGATTGTATGCTTTACTCTTAAGAGTAGGAACAAGGCAAGAATCCCTGCTTCTGCCACTTTTAATTAACTTCCACAGAAGGTTCTAGCCAGAATGATGAGAAAAGGAAAAAAGGCATCAAGGTTAGAGAGATATACATGGGTAGAGAGAAGTAATGAAACTGTACTTGCAGACAACATGTTTCTGTTTATAGAAAATGTTACAGAATTCACAAAAATCATTATGGAGTAAAAATTAGGTAAGTTCACGTGGTATGAGATCCATAAATTTCTATGCATTAGCAATAAATAATCTGAAAATACTATCAAGTAAATAATTTCATTCATGATAGGATAAAATGCAGCAAAATAGGGCTGAGGAAATAGCTCA